TCACTCTTTTAGAATAGTTTTCATTTTCTCCAACTTCAGATTAAACGTGCATATGAGTAATTAATGGTCTATTCCTTGGGAAAAAACATGTCATGCTTGGAAGGACAGAGGGTCATTAAGAGAGGAAGTGACTGCAGCAATGGGCTCAAATGTATCAGAGACGATGAGGATGGCACAGGATAGGAGAGAGTTCAGGGTGTTGCTCTGAGTTGTACTTGACGGCACCTAACAATATGAGAACCAAAATACAATCTGGACTCTGTCCTACCTGAATTTTAAAACCATATCAGGAACAGATTTGATGTACCAAACGCCAATGATCAAAAAAATGATGTTTTATGAGATGACATCAAGGATATCACCCTTGAAGAATGCAAAGATCGTCATCACAAAGACAGAGGGAAAAGGAAAAACCAGAATTGATGTCAGAAGACAATGAAATTTGGACTGGAATGTAGATAGGCCCAAACAAAGGAAGAAATACTGAAATAAGAAAAAGGAAAAGATTTCAAGGGGCAGACCAAGAAGATTAGGCATAGTGATAATGAAATGTGCAAAGAATTGAAGTTAGAAACCAAAAGGGAATAACACATTCGTCCTTTCTCCAGCTGAAAGACCTGAAGAACAAATACAAGCCTTGAGCTGCAATGCTGACAGATGCTCTGAATGATACAAGAAGCATCTGAAGATGGAAGGAACAGAGAGTCACTGTACCAAAGGAACTGTTGGACACTGAACTATTTCATTAAGTAGAAGATGATCAAGAACTACCAGTACTGAAGGAAGAAGTCAAAGCTGCCCTGAGGTTACTGGCAAAAAATAAGGCCTCAGAAATTGAGGGAATATCAATTGATACGTTATGTCAAGAAATTTGAAGTCAAATACCTTGCCAACTGACCAGAATAAATCAGTATTTGTTCTTTTTCCAAGAAAGGGTGATCCAGCAGGGTATATGAAAAGTATTGAACAATATCATTAACACATTTAAGTAAAATCTTGACGGTTTAAAAAAAAAAAAAAGGCAGGCACAAGTACATTGGCAGGGAATTGCCAGAAATTCAAGTTGGATTCAGAAGAGGCCTTGGCATGAAGTCTGATGGATCTTCACCGAGAGCACAGAACACCAGAAAGATGGGTGTTTGGCTGTTTTGTTTCTTTTACTACCTGGGGAAAAATATTCTTTGTGGGTCATAATGAATTACGGCTAATATTGAGAATGGGAATATCAGAATCCTTAATTGTGCTCATACAAAACCTATATACAGGGGAGCTCTGGTGGCCTAGTGGCAAGAAACTGCACTGCAATCCCAGAGGAACACGGTTCGAATCCACCAGACGCTCTGCCGGAGAAGGAGGCGCAATATCCTCCTGTACCAGTCAGATCTGATTTGACGGTACACGTACACAAAATTAAAAAAAACAAAACAAAACAAAAAAACCTATATACAAACCAAAAAGCTGTTATCCAAACAAAACCAGGGAATTTTGCAGGGTTTCAAATCAGTAATGATTTGCATCAGGGTTGCATCCTTTCTCCACACCTATATTCTCTCTACACACACCCCTCCCCAAAAAGGTGTGTGTCTGCATGCTATAATTAGGTAAGAACTATTTCTGTTAACTGGTCTGACACTACATTTTTTTTAACCACAAAATTCTCAAATGGTATTCAACAAAGCCAGCCTTATCTTTCAAAGCTTCACTCTCAGAAACCCTCTTTTCAGTTTTCCCTTTTTCTTAAATCCTCCACTCTCGGTTCACCTGTCATCTCAGCTCAACTTTATACATCATCTTTTAAAAGGTAATTTGACAGACTACTTTGGCTTTGTCACTGTCAAACACACCCGACTCTCTGCGTCTATAACCACCTACTGTCTTCCTTCTTTTTCACCACAAGAAAAATGTCCCCAGTCCAACATCTGGCCAGCCCCTCCAGCTGCACCCTAGATTTAACCTTTTCTCCCTTCCTCACTTATACTGTTTTTGTGATTTGATCTTGAGCTGAGCACCACCCACAGCGACCCTAAGAACAACAGCTCTGAATCTACCCTTAGACTGAGCCATTCTTCCAGTCTCTCTTCTGCTCATGCCCATTGTGGCAGTCTTATTACATCTCACTGAGGGTCTTCATCTCTTTTGCTGGAAGCAATTACACTCACATTCATGTATTACCTCCTTTTTCTCCATCATCACCAATTTATCCTTCACGACTGAGTCAAAAGGACCAACAGCATTAAATTCAAGGAACATCTCAAATCAATTAGTTCCTAGAAGTGGACTACGAACCAAGAAATACAAAAATATTTTCCATTCCTGTTTGTCTCTCACTTTCCTAACAGATTTTTAAAACATCTGTGTGCAGTTTGCCCTAACAGCTCTGACATTTTTGATTTGTTAAGGGTACATACAAATCTAACATATTTTTTTTTAAATTAAAAAATTCCCCTGGTGCTAAGAAGACAAAGAATTTTCCCTCCCTCCCAATTCTTTTAAAAAATTTGACATTGTAAATGCGCTATTTTTTTTTTTTTTAGAAATATGCAAATCTTTTTAAAAGTAAATAATCCTATTGTCAGTTTTGATTCCAAGAAGATCTTTCTTGGGGTCTCTTGATCTATTTCTCTGAAATATGAACAAAGAAAACACCAGTCCTCCTTGTCTCTGTAGGAGTTTAAGCCAAAGTGCTAGGTTCTAGTAACTTCCCATTGCTGAAAAGATACAAGTTGTGTTTTGTGTGAAACAATTAACAGATATGTAATGGACTGAACCGGCTTAGTGAAATAAGAATGTGAGGTTCTGCATGGTGGCTTAGTGGGTAAGGAGTTGTGCTGCCAAACCAATGGCGAGTAGTTCAAATGTACCCCTTGCTCCATGGGAGAAAGATGGGCAATCTCCTCTTAAGGAAATTACCGCCTCTGAAAACCCGTTGAGGGGTCAGTTATGAGTTGGCCTGACTTAACAACAGTGATGTTGTATCAGAGTACGAGTTAAGGCTTACTCAATAACGAGTAATGTTTCAATAATGAAACAGCCTTATTCTTTTCTCTATTTTGTAAAATGGTATTGTAGGGTTTGCAGGTATTAGTTTTATTTCCCAAATAGTCCTGTTTGGCATATTTACTCCTGGCTGTTACAAAAGAGAGACAGAAGATGTAGTGTAAAACAGACGAAACTGTTCACTCTGGTTGGTGAATAAACACAAGGAAGCCTGTGTTTACCTTCCTCACTGTCACAATGTAAATTTGAAATGGCTTTGATTTTTGTCTAATGTGCTGGGGGCCTGGAAGACCAGCTATACTGTAAAGCAAAATCTTTGATGTGTGAAAATACTATGTTCAATCATACACGATAGTAAGCACAAGTTAATATGTGCTTATCTGGATTACTGCAAGTCTGACACTGGCTGATTCTATGTCCTATCCATCCGTCCTTGAGGCAGGGAGAGAGAAGATCCTCAACCGGGTGGATTGACAGGGTGACTGCAGCAATGGGCTCCAGAATGTCAGAGATTGTGAGGATGACACAGGATAGGACAGGATTCGGATCTGTGGTTGACAGGGTCCTCTGAGTTCTATTTGACACACAACATCGAGAAGATGGTCCCTGATCTAGCAGGATTCGCTCCTACACAGGGTGGATAGGAATCGGAATAGAACATATGACACCAAATAGGAACAAAGACAGAATGGAAAGGGCTCAGAGGTTTGTTTTTCCTTCCACCAGCATTCTGACCTTTGGACAAGTTACTTAACTCTCTGAATCCTTATCTACAAAATGAGGCAACTACTGCTTCACACATGAGGAAAAGTATACAAACAGGAAGCTCTTTGCAAATGATGAAAACAAAATTATACTGGATTCCTTTAACACCTAGTGCTTTCCCCATTACCCTCTTTCCTCGTGGGAATCTGTCAAGTCCCAGGACAGAGGTTTCAACTTCGGGAGCAGGCATCGACTCAATGGGACAGCTGGGGTTTTTTCCCCTACTTCAATTTAACACGTAAAGATAAGACAACTATCTGCTAAAGTGAGAAATCAGCCTGCACACCTTTATGAATGTAAAAGGTTTTTGGAGCAAAACCACGCAAAGCTAAGAAAGCCCGCGTAATTTGAAGATAAAGGTGGGGGGGGGGAAGAGAATCAGATTGAAGGGGGGGTCCCCTATGCAAATACAGGCTGGAGGCGACGCCTGCACCCCAACACCCGCCCGCGCGGGGGCGGAGATTTGCATGTGCGAAATCAGGAAGAAGGGGAACCACCTTCAGCGAAAACCCCGCGCCGGGCGCCCCTCCAGCCGCCAGGACCGGCCCCGCGCCCCGCCCGCCGGGGCAGCCGGCCCCCTCGACGTCACCTCACCCTCCCACCCGCCTCTGAACTTTAAACCACGCTCCAAAGAACAACCTGGAGGAGGGGGATTTCTGCGGCGCCCGCGGCCTCCGCGCACGCGCGCGCGGGGCGGACCCCTCCGGCCCGGGCTTCCGACGTCCCCCGGCTTTGCGCCCGGCCCCCCGCGACCCTGCGGCTCGCGCTCAGCCAGTACCGGGGGACGCATGCGCCGAGGCGAGCGCCGTGGAGGCAGGCGCCGTTAGCCATGAGGGGGCGCTAAGGACTAGCGTGCGCGCGCAGAGGCCGCGCAGAAGCCCCGCCCCCTGTGGGGAGCGGCGTGACGTCAGTGGCGGGAAATCCCCGCGCTGCCGGGGCCGCCCGCCTCTCGGCCGGGCGGGCGGGCGCCGGGCTCTCACGCGCTCCGCCCCCTGAGTCCCTCCCGGCTGCTGCAGCCTGGCCGCCGGACGCCGGCGAGAACTAAGGGGGTGGGAAGGTGCGAGCCACAAACGCCGAAGAGGGCGGGCAGGAGGAGGAGGACCTAGGAGTGGTCAGCGAGACTGGGGGGTCTCGGCGGCAGAGATCCCTCGCTCGCCTGGCTGAGTGACTGACCGACGAGCTCGCGGCCTGCAGCGGTGTCCGGCCGGGGCGCTTGGTGCTGCGCGGGGAGCGCAGCCATGGCCTCGGGTGAGTGTCCACGGCGGGGATGCCGGGCGCCCGGGCGCGATCGGGGTGTGGGGGGGTGTCCGAGGGGCCGGAGAGCAGATCCCGGGGCTGCTGCTCCGCGTTTTGGGGAAGTCGGCGGGGGGGAAGGCAGATCGCATTATGTGGCAGATTGTCAGCCTTTTTAACAGAAAAGTTCCCTGGTTTGGAGTTTGCGTGCGAAATCAGAACCCCGCTCTGTCATTTGATCCCTTTGTAACCGAGAGAGCCTTGGAAATTTCCCAGCGGCTTTGATTCATCCCAAAAAAAGAGGACGGGGAGTTGTATTTTATTTTTTTTTTTCACCCCCTTGGGTAGCTATGTTTTGAACTGGTGCTTTTAGGCTTTGGAGCAGAAATGCGGAACCTGCAGGGCGCGGGGGAATCCTCCCCCGATTTTTCGCCCGATTTCAGGCGCCGGAGAGGCTATCGCCGGTGGCGTTTGACAGTTGCTAACGAGGTGCCGTCGTGAGAAGTGTCATCGGAGGCACTTTCAACGGGTCCCGAGCGGGAAATGGGGACCTTGTGCCCCAAGTGCAGAAATGTCTATGGTGAACGGAGGCGCACGCTTCGGAGTTGACACCGAGAGATCATTTTATTTATTATCTGTCGGTGGAAAGAAGATGGCTTAGAACTTCTCCTGCTTTGAAAAGAATGGCTGGGAATGAAAACATTGTAGGATTTATGTCGATGTTCATTCCCAGTTAATAAAGAAAGGCTGGGCGTTCTTGCTTTGCGGGGAAGGACGAGGTTGCTCAGAGTGTGTGGGGTTTGGGGGGGCTTTTCGTTTCTGCAGCCGTGGTTCAGGGGGGTTCCTGGGTGATCTTAGGGGGGAATCGCGTAGACCAGGCTCCAGTGAGACCCTGTCCCAGGATTTTTTTATTTAGAAGGGGGCACTTTGAACAACTTGATCAAAGACGGGGTTCTGAAACTACGTGACTTAATAATGCTGGGCTGCGGAGTTGGGGAGGAGGAGGTACATACTTGACCCACCCTCACCCCATCTTGGTTCAGTGATCCCCTGCAGGGGTTGATACCTCTTTTGAGAAGAGGAACTATAGGCTTGAAGAACTCTTTTAAAGGGTTGAACAAGAACAATGCCATAGCTACTGCTGTAGACTGAAAGGAAATAGAGCTTCATATGACATTTGATTTCAGTTTGTCTGTGGTTTTCCTTGTGAGAAGACAAATATAGTTTAAAAAATTTCAACTTTCCCTTTACCCACTGCAGTGACCCCAAGCTTTCAGAGAATTTTTTTTTTAAGCTCCTAAATTCAAAAGCACCTGGAAATGAAAAGTGCAAAGATGGCTTTTAAATACTTGGTTAATTTAGTGGGTATCATCAGAAAGATGTGTTTTCTCGAAGTAGGTAAAGACTGGCGAGTATGCTAAGTAAAAAAAGGGGAGAGGCAACTTAACGGCCCTTTAAGCAAACTTTATTCATTGCATGGAAATATTGACAGCTGCCCTTTCCAAAAGAAAGGGGGGAAGAAGTCATTAAACTCTAGATAACCATATTTTATGATCTGTGTGATTTTATGTGATACAGTGTAGATTTTTTTTTTCATGAAAAACACACATAACACCTTCTGCTGTTATGAGGACCAAGAATTCCCTACATTGGAGGGAGAGAAGCATAAAAGAATGTAAAATTTTAAATGTTTGGAAGTCGAGGAAGAGTGATTATCTTTTTTCCTTTTTCTTGAGTTGTGTTTAAATGGGACTTTAAAAAATGTTACATTTTAAAAATGTAATGGAACAAGTTATTTTAAAATATTTAAAATGCAACAAATTATTTTAAAATGTAATCACATGTTTGAAAATGGCTAGACAAAAGCCTGAGTTTCCTTAATCTTTTGTAAAATATTTGGAGTGATTAAAAGATTAACAGAATAAGTCATAAATTCCCATTCATGTTTTGAAAGTATTAATTTAACTGAAAGTTTAACAACAAGAAGAAAGAGGTGGATGTTTTCATTTAGCATCGGCTTAGACTCTGTAGTAAGGTAGTATTAAAAGAAGGAACTCATGAAATACTACACAAAATGGGTGACCCTGGAGGACATTATGCTGTGTGAAATATCTCAGTCACAAAAGGACAAATACTGCATAGAGCCACTGTTGTAATAATGGGACTGACATCTGGGGTTAGGGGAACCTAAGAAAAGAGGGGATAAATAATGTATACTGCATTAAAACAGATGAAGTAGAGGACTATTTAAAAGGAATATAGGATTAGGTATTATTTTCATGACAAGATTACAGAAAAAGAAATGCATATTAAAGTGGGCTGTGGACTGGGTGAGGGGGAGGTGGGGGAGGTGTGACTGTAAAACAATGAAATAATTTTTTTTTCTTCAAAGAGAAAAACAAAGGGGGCAGGAGTGGGCAAGGAGGAAAATGTACAACAATGAATGAATGGAGAAAGAAATTAAATGGAAAGAATATGCTGTAAAAAAATTATGTTACATAAAAATATTAATAAAAATAATTTAATTAAAAACCCTCAAAAATGTTTTTTATTGCTTAGCAAACCTTTAAGACCTCCATTTCTCATCAGACAGCAAGTGAAAGTAGATCTGTGTGTAGTTGAATATGTGGTCTATATAAGATAAAAATAAAACTTAGATCATAACCTCATAAAGATAAATAAACAAAGCAAAATTGTTTTAATGTCATGAGGAGCACATAGTACTAGAATTTAGATAATGTATTTGATTCTAAATTTTACTCATTAATAATCAGATTAATTATTTGGGTCTTCAAAGGTTGGCTTTTTTCCCAAGCTCTTTTTCATTGCCTTTTAAAAAACCCCCTTGCTTCCAACCTTATTAGAATAGACATTGTGATGAAAAATGGTCCCAAACCAGTAATGATAAGTGGCCATTACTCTTTGGTATTTATTATTATTTCCTAGTGAATGCAAGTAAAATTAATTACTTTGGTGCCTGAATTTTCAAAAAGAGCAAAATATCTAGGTCTGCTTACTGACAGTTCTTTTTTAAAAAAAAATATGCCTTAAATGTTAGACAATTTATTGTTTTTATTCTCATTTTTCTTTAATACATTTCTGCTGTGTCACACAGCAATAGGAAGTACATGAAGAAATTATTTTTGTAAACCGCATTACTTACCAACTCTTTGTAGTTTTAATTTCAAGAGTTCTTTTTTTTTCTCCCTCTTCATTAAGAGGAAAAAATGAATGTTGATATGAGTACAGTGTAACTTTAATATAGAGCTGGAATTTAGCTACATAGCTGAAAGACAGAGAAAAGACTTTTTAATTTTTAAATACAGAGGGGACTGCACATGGTAAACATGCATATTGTTTCAGAAATACAAAACATGTCAAAGTAGAGATAATAATGATATAAAAGAATTCAGGTTATATACAGTAGACAGTACTGGAAAGGAATAAGATGAATCATAATTAGGAACATCCAGGGGGTGTGCGATCTTTTTATCAAATACAGTTTAAGAGACTCAGAATTTCTTTTTGTTCCAACATCTTCACGTGTGAACTTTCTACAAATGATTGTGTTTGCAGGCACGTGATCTCGGGACACCTTCCTGTTTTCTCAAGTCTGCAACTGCTCTCTGTCTGGATTTTGTATTTATGAAATAATCAAGCTGTTAAGAACCAGGAGTAGGCTAGCAGATAAAATGCAGGAGTGCCAGTTAATCTCAGATAATCCACAAATACTTTTAGTATACACAGGTCTCCAATACATACTCTTTTGCATTTGAAGTTAATGCTACTGGATATCTTGTATTTTTTCCCCCTATATTTTCATTTTTAAGGTTGGCAGTCATAATCAAGATAGAGTTTGATCTTGCTGTCTAGTTCTTCTTAAATACTTGAGCATTCTAGGGCAGAATTTTAATATTTCTCTCTTGTCCACCTTAAAGATTTTTAAAGTACTTGATTTTTCCTGCCCTAAAGCAGTGGCCTCTCCTGCCAAACCTTTTTTTACATCTTTTGTTTACCATGTGGTGCATACATCAGTGTAATACTGGTCTGAAAATTCCCTGCTTGGATTCTTTCTTAAGGCCAGAGTGGACCTGGGTTTGTTTTTATTCTGGTTCTGCTACTGTGTGAACTCATTGTCATGAGTTAAAATATGAGAATTGCCAAAAGATACAATGTGTATCCCATTAAAGGAAGATTTGTTTCATCCCTAATAGAGCGCTTCTGGAATTTTGACTTAGGAAATGGGTGCTACACTTCTAAGAGTCCCACATGGTACAAGTGGTTAATACGCACTGTGCTGCTAACTGAAGGGAAGGTTAGAAGTTCAGGACAGCCCAGAGGCACCAAAGAGGCCTGGCAATCTAGTTATGAAAATCAGCTATTGAAACCCTGTGGAGTGCACCTGGGGTTGCTATGATTTGGAATCTGTGACCAGTTGATTACTGATTCTAGATTCTAGAATTCTGTGACACTGTAGAACCTAGTTTAAGCCAGACCAGATACTGGAGGGAAATAAACCCTTAAGGAATTGATAAGAAATGAATGCCTATTTACTTTTAAATGTTTTGACATAGTTTTGCATCTATTTAAAGGAGAATAAGATTGCATAGCAAATAGTTAAACTTTTGCCAGTTTGACATTACTCATTCTTTGTTTGATTTCTTTTGTGTTTAGGCTTCTTCTGCCTATGGGAATAGGCTTAAATGGTTTAGACCTTTTTTGTGAATATAGCTTTATCTTTGTAAGAACTGAAGTGTAAATTTTGGTCATACATAGAAATGGAAAAACTTACCTGTGTCTAAAGGTAAAAAATATTACCAGTATGACTCAGTCAGGCTCCTGGGTTGAGGAAAGGATAGTAATCTTTTCTTTCTCTCCAAAGAGAATAGAGGTAATACTTGAACAACTTTATGTTGTTGGCTCCAAAGTGTGACCTCTGAGGGGTGTGCAGTCAGCTATTCTCCACTGTGTGGTTACACGTTACAGTTTTTTTTTTTTTTGTGGATTGTTTTACAAGATGTTACTGAAAAGTAAAACGATAATTTTGCAAACAGTTTACCTTTTAAATAAATTTGAACAACTGAAAACTGTCCACACACTAATATATTTTCTCTTGCTTGTTTTTGCCTTTCCTGAGTGGGAGGAGTTAAATCTAGCCAGCACTGCTCAGCCAATTTTATCCATGACACAGCCCACGCTTGTACCTGAATTTTTCTATCACTTTTCTAGCTAGTACATTGTTGTTCCACTTCCTTATATTTTAAGTCAATGTTTCTTATTCAAAAGTGTATATTAGAATTATCCACAAAGCTTTTTCTGGAAACAAATGGCTGGCCTTTACCCTTCAAGATTTCCATTTCTGTTCAGCCAATCTCAGCTGAGATCTGGACATGTATGTTTTTAAAAACACTGCCTGGGTGCCCTATCACACCCCCAATGTGGATCTGTTCTCAGGATTTCACTGCATCT